GGCGGGGGGAGCGGGGCGGGGGGGAAGCTACACACCTTACGCGGGGAGACGAAAGCAGCCCCTAACTGTTGTCAACAGCTTTCGGTCTGCACCATTTCTCTGCCATATGGCCCGATCTCCACGTCGGAGCTGAGATTCTTAGCTCTGCAGCTTCATACGAATCGTATCCCCAGCATCAGCAGTCGTATATTCAGACATATTTTTTTTCCTCCTTAAATTTCCACTCCCTTTCTCTCTAATGGGAATAACTCACCCATCTTGTAGAGATCAAGTGCAACAGAAGGCGAGCTGGAGTCCCCAAGCTTTAGAAATCTCATTTCACCGTTTTTAACCCAAATAAGAGCGAATCCAATCTTCTGTACACCTGGGAATCTTTCCTTGTTCAAACACCGAGCCCTGCAGCTTTGGCTAAAGCCTACAGACAGAGAATACAGAGCGCTGAGCCAAAAGCCAGTGATGTCACCCATGCAACGTGAGACTCATTTCTTATTTCTCTAGCCTCCTTAAAGATAAACTGCACCACTTCCCAGGCAGCAAACGTGGAAGCCTTACTTTCTTAAGAGGGGAAAATGTAAAACCTGGATTTAACTGGATCCTGCTCATTCTTGGTCACAAGCCCCTACATTGTGTCAGCCAAACCCAAGCCAAGCGGAGCTGTTTCTTACTGCACCAAAAAATCCCAACCTACTACGTAACCCAGAGCGTGAGCTTGAAAAAACCCTGGATTCAAGACCTTCTGTGTGATCCAGAAAACTGAGGCCTCGAGACTCTGAACTGTACTGTTTAAAAAGGAAATAACCACAGCCATTTCCCTTGCATCAAAAAGCTCTGGATCTTGGCACATCCTGATCTGTGAGTACCACAGCATCCTGGAGCTGGCAGAGGAACCTAGTTAGCCCCATCCAATATTTGGCTCTCACATACCAGCGACTCCACAGCATGAATAGCAAACAGCGCGGTCGTTCCTACTGCACCAAAAAGGCCACAGCCTGATGCCTCTCCATGGACGAGTGCCGCAAAAATCTACATCCACGCTGGATCCTACCAGCTTTTGGCCCCTGAAGCCCAAGCTGTGTCATCTGAATAGAAAATAAGCACAGCCTTTATTGGAGCCCCTGGGTTGGTGATAGCCCTTGGCCCCAAGAGGGGAGTACTGGGATTTTGCTAGGTTTTAACCCTAGCCACACGAATTGTACTTGCTCCAGTGGGAAGGGCAGACAGGGGACATAGTAGCTCTTCATGTATCAGAAATACATACCTGGATTTTCTTGTGGAATACAGATGCATCAGAAAAAACCACAGGGCTGGATCCTATCAGGTTTTGGCCCCAAACGAAATTGTATCATCAAAAAAGGCAAGAGGTTTCCTTCCATTTTACCTGGCAAAAACAGGTCCCAAGTCAGCTGGGATTTTCAGCTATGGAAGGGCATCTCTCCCATTAAACCACTTTTGGTTTGAAATGCACTGTATTGTCTAACCCCCTCAGCATGATTACAAAACTCGCAAAGGAAAGTCGATCATCCAAACCATAGACATTGTGATCATCTGCATCTTCTGCAACAGCTCTGTTGCAAAATTTCAATGTTATGTTATGAATATTAACTGTATCTGGAAAGCTCTAGATAAAGTTAATTGTTTTATTGAAACAAGGCACTGGTTTAAATTTTTTTTAGCAGTAACTTCCCTTTGTTGTTCATAATAAAAGCAAATATCTAAGGATCTAAGGCTTTTTAAAAACAGTTAAGCACAGGTGGATCCACTTCTATAACTGGATTTTTCAAGCAACTACATATCAGTACGTAAAAAGAATTAAATTTTATAGTGGGCTTGGAGCAGCCATACTTGTCTATTCGGAGATAAAATTTATAGGTTTGTGGTCAAAAAGCTGCTGGTTCCTGTAAGAAGATGGTGAACAGGTTTCTTGTATTGCACCCACACAGGGATGAGAGTGCACCTGGATTTCTTTGTCAATTTTTAGCATCAAGTCCCAAGCTGAAGGATGAGAACAGGGAACAAGCCTAATTTTACCAAATGTGTTTTTTGGCTGATAGGATCGTTGGATTTTCGATTTAAGCACGAGAGTCTGCTACATTCATTCTCTATTTAGACTGAACTGGAAGACAGAACTGTTTTCTATCTAAACTTCCAGTTTAGACAGAACTGGAAGACTGGGGGTAAGAGCAAAATGGAGGATCCAGCTACTAGAGCTGTTTTTCTCATTATATTGGCCAAAGACACAGTAGGGGACAGGAAAATCATATAATGTAATCATACCTACATTTCTTTTCTAGTTAAACATTAGGATTACAGCCCAAAGAACCAAGATTTGGTTGGACCCAGGTAGGTCCAGGTGCCAGGTTTTTCCGTCACACTCCAAGGCAGTAAGAGAATTTGGGGCAGGGGGACTTCGGAACCTGGAGAAGCCAGACTTGTTCCCTCCTCTCATTCTTAAACATGGGTTTGAAAGCCAAAAATTGGCATGCTGTTCCAGGTTTTGTTTTTTCTCTGAAAAGGCATTTCAGTGGCAGTTTCTATGCATTTTTATTTTTTTTGCTTGCATTTGTAGCTTTATCAGATGGCAATCTATATCCTCCTGCAAGTCACCTTAATTATATAAATGTAGGAGAAAGTGTTGGATTTCAGATGAGCTCCACTTTGACTCTTAGAATTAAACATTTCTCTCCCTCATCATCATTATCCCCTTCTTTTCAGGAGGGGCAGAATATTGCTTGCTGCAGGAATTAGGAACCATTCCTCTATCTCTTCCCGGGATTATTATAGACAGTCCCTTCTCAGTGCAAACAGATCATTATTAAATTCTCTTCCTCCCACCCCACCCCCGCATCAACACAGGGGGAAAAAACAATCCTTGCCGATCTTCAGATGAATGTAAGCTGGGAGAAAGGCATTTAAAAAAAAAACTCTGTGCACACTTGGGCACGCTACGTGGAAACCGCTCCCTACAGTGAATTAAGGGGCATCATGGCAAAGGCAGGTAATTCATTGGTCTTGAATGAATCGGGGAGTGAAAATGCAGTTTTAGTAAAGGATTGAAAGCTGAGGCTTTCCTTTCTGCAGGTTACGATTTCGGTGATCCAGAGGGAAAGCTAAAGCACATGGGTGCACAGGAAAAAATGTCTGAAGGCATGGGACAGAGCAGTGGAGCCCGGCGAGTCTGTTCAGAGCAAATTCCTTGTGACAAGCCCCGTGCGCCGCCTGCTAGACCTCACCACGGATGCTACCTTACAGATAGGGCCAGTCTCCTCTCCATTCCCTCCCAGGATTGTTTCTGCTTTCCTTAGCATCCTCCAGCTACCATCGCCCACTGCCTTCCAAGAAAGCTTCAGGCATAAAAGCAAAGAGAGCGCCTGTACCAAGGTACACACAGGCGGGGTGTTGGGTAAGAAGGGGGGAAGGGCAGAGTTAATGGACAACCAATTGCAATTTGCTTTTCTTCGGTTTTTTTTTACATCAGAATGACCTCCACCATGTTTTTCTTCTTCCTCCTTTTTTTTTTTTCTTTTAAAGAAAAAGAGTTCAGTGCCATCTAGTGGGGGAGGGGATTGAGCAAGTCAATGTGCTTCCCATTTCTAGGGATCTGTGCCGCTCACTCAGTCATTCAACAGGGAGAGAAGATCCTCAGTATTTCCCTTCTCTCTTTGCAATCTTCATTTCCCAAGAGGTGATGTTTAATT